ATCATTCTAATATGCTGATTTGGTGATCAAGAAACATTTCTTATTCTTATTAATGTTGTGCTGCTGCAAAATAATTGTGCTGCTTAATATTTTGTGGAAGCCATGAAACATTTTTGTCAGGATTTTTCTATTCTAGAAAGTTCAAAAGAACAGCATTTATTTGAAATGGAAATATTTTGTAACATTATAAAGACATAAATGTCTTTACTGTCACTTTTAAACTTAAACATATTTCAAATGCTTTTGCTAAATAAAAGTATTAATTTATTTTAAAAAATCTTTCTGACCCCATATATACATATATTTTAAAAAGCAATCTTTTAATATTGTATTAAAATAACAATAGTTCTAAATTGTCATTGTACTACACAACATAATGCATAGTGGTGTGTTGATGCTGATGTTGTCTTTGGCTGACCTGAGGATGTCAAAGGATCATGATTTTGAGCAGCTGTGGCATCTCGTGGTTAAATAGCGAATGACAGTCCACTGGCAAAACCCCTGATACATTTTTTTTTCTTTCTTTCTTCTTTTTTTATTGTGGTGCTTTTGCCAAGGGAGAAAGAGCGGGAATAGGATTGGTTACTCATTTAATTTGGCAGTTTGTATGATGATACAAAAGGCTCTTCTTGAAGCATATGCGCTCCAGTACAGACAGTTTGTCTGACTGCTGCTTTCATGCTCTGTAGCTGACTGCTTAACAGAGCTCACATATAATGCGTATTTATACACATAATTTTGTCAACAAACATGAAAGTAAATGAGATATTAATCACCACATAACAAATAACTAAGAGTGATGATGATAAAAGCAAACAACAGCATTGTGCATAAAATCAAATCTAACCACATGCTTTACGTGCTGTGCATTCTAGTTACGGCAACATTTGAGGGATATTGGTGGCCTAAAGTGTTTGTCGATTGAAAGCAATTATTGCTAAATGCTAAATACAAGCTAAATGGGAAAACTATTTTCCCATTTAGCTTGTATAGTGAAGCATGGTAGAGCCGTTTAAATGGGCATTATTTATTTTTCACAGCGTCACGTCTTAAGAAGACTAATTCATTTAAAGAAATGATGAGACCCTTTGCCTTTGAGCCAGGATTTGATTTTATTTCATCTAATAAAATAATAGGTTTTATAGCAGTAACAGTGCAGGAGCTAAATCTTCTCTGTCGTTGAAGGACCAGACCGTGAAGAATGATGCGATCAACAGGATGGCGGCCATGTCTTCAGCGCAGATCGTCTCGGCCACGGCCATCCACAGCCGGCTGGGGCTCGCGGGACTCCCTCGACCCACCTTGCCTGGGGCGACAGGGGTACAAGATGCCCCAGACCACTTTAAAACCATTAGTGTCCATTTAAAGGACAAGCAGAAGAATATACCCATCATGCATTGGTATTGTTTTACACTATAACACTGCAATACATTTTATTCCTTTTCTAGATTTGGCAAGTGTCAACAGGGCAGCCTGGTTCCTCACAAGAGTAAGTGTATATAACTGACTTAAATATACATGGCTGAGTTTGTACATAATAAAACGTGTATAAACAGATTCTTCACTAAAAATGACACCTTGTGATAATCACCTCTGTTGTTCCTCAGTGTGAAGCCGTTCGCACAGCAGAATTACCCTATCCAGACGGCCACAGCCATCGCAGGTGTGTATATTCATGTTTAAAGGGGTCATATGATGCGATTTCAAGTTTTCCTTTCTCTTTGGAGTGTTACAAGCTGTTTGTGAATAGATAATATCCCTAAAGTTGCAAAGACTAAAGTCTCAAACCCAAAGAGATATTCTTTATAAAAGTTAAGACTTGTCCACGCCCTCCTAAAACGCCTCGTTTAAACACGCCCCCACATGTCTACGTCACTGTGTGGGAAGATTTGCATAACGCCGCCCAAATGTTCACGCAAAGAAAGAAGGCCTAACTTTGATTCTCGCTGTAGTATTGTTGTTGCCTCTGCCGCCATGTTGTGAAGAAGCTGTGTGTTTTGTTGTGAAAGCGAAAGTACTTTGTTTGGTCTTCCAAAGGAGGACACAACTAGAAATCAGTGGTTAAGTTGTATTTACAACACTGTTCCAGAACAGTTCAAACCAAATATTCAGATGTGTGCAGCGCATTTTACGGAGGACCTTGGAGAGTAGACTACAATGCCGGTGTTCCAGTGAATTCAGTTCTCGTTTCCCCTTCGGCGCGCATGCTGACCCTATAACAGTCTATGATGCTGACAAATAATGCTGACTCACAGCCTGTAAGTACGTTTTCATATTTAAAGAATTTGCCACTGACGATTCAATCGAGAGTTTTGAGTAGTGTAGAGTAGCGTGTAGTTTGTCATTTCTCCGATCACAAATGCAGACATGGTTTTATGTTTACGCGGCGCGATGCAATGCGTAAAAAGACAGTAAAAGTCACTATTATCCGTAAAGACATCCCCACTGGATGCAACAAATGCCTCGTTTATAATGGGTTGTATTGGTTTTGTCTCATCGCTCCGGCTGGACAGGGCATCACAATATGGTAAGGGCGTAACATTTCCGTCACACGCTTGAGGTATTCGGCCAATCACAACGCAGTGGATAGCTGGCCAATCAGAGCACACCTCGCTTTTCAGACCGATGAGTTTTGTAAAAAAAAAAAAAATGGGTTTCAGAAAGGCGGGGCATAGAGGAGAAACAATAATGTACAGTATGTGGAAAATAATGTGTTTTTTTAACCTTAAACCGCATAAACACATTTCATTACACCAAATACACAAAATAATGTTATTTTTTTTAGCAACGTCATATGACCCCTTTAACAGATGCCTTTGAACTTAACTATACATTTATGCATGGGTAACTTTGCATATACCTACTTAGATTTTGCATATTTTTAAAAGAATAATTCTGGCTCTTAGGTTTGCTTGCTCAAAGCTGTTGCTTTGGATCAAAACATCTACTTTTTGTTTATTAATGCATTCATTAATAGTACATCTATATTCTATTGTGAATAAAATATAAGTTTATGAGATTTGTAAATTATTCCATTCCTTTTTTACTCACAATTTGTACAGTTTGGAATTGGGTTTGTATATTGTATTAATAATTTATAAAATAATTGTGTTTATAATATACATAAATTAAAATTAAAGTTATGCTATCATATTAATATAATTTCATGATAATATAACAGTTTGTTATATATATATATATATATATATATATATATATATATTAGTATATTATTGTTATAATGTAATATAATATAATAAAAGAAATGCATTACTTGGTGGAAAAAAAATTTAATTGTTGAATTAATATCTATATTATTAATTTATAATTTTGTTTATATAATATAAATAAATAAAATTATATTAATGATATCATATTAATATAAGTAGTACATTGGTGAAAAAAATATTAAACTATTATTAAATTTATATTATTCATGTATAAGTTTGTTTCTATATTATATAAATAAGTGCTATATTATACTCTTATTTATTAATATTGCAATATATTATATTAACATTAAACATATAAATAAATATTTTTAAAAATGTATGTATACTATCATATATCATTTAATGTAAGAAGTACATTATGTGGTATAAGAATTATGAATAAAAAATGACAGTATATTTATTCTGTTTAAATGACTCCTAATGGCTCTCATCTTATTGTTTTAATACATGGCTCATGTTTTGAAATGCTGTGTTTGTGTGTGCAGCTTACGAGTCCTCCACACCCCTGGCAGCCGCAGGGCCGGCGTGGCACGGGCGCTCTATCAGCACCTCTAAACTGCGGCTGGTGGAGTTCTCCTCCTTCCTGGAGCATCAACGGGACCCAGATTCAGTAAGTCAGCACACGTACCCAGAACCACTGCAGAGACAGCAACAGAAGAGCAGCCTTGACCTGCTTTAGCAGCCGCAGCGCAGCTCCTCTAAAATGCAGCTTCAGTACTGAAGAAGACCTACATGTTTTACACACAACAAGCACATTTTCGGCAGAGTCTGAATTTTTATTACTTCATAAACATTATAAAATAATATATTTTACATTTATTTTAAAATATAATATTTATATATAAAAATAAATATACTATTTTGTATCTTTATAATAAATTAATAAAGTATATATAAGAAATAATATTACAGTAAATAATACAAAAATATGCATTTTTATTTATTTATTTACTTTATTGCATAAATATAATTTTACGTGATGAATAAAAAAAATTAAAAATTAATCAGACTTATTAACAGCTACTATTTTGTATCTTTATAATAAATTAATAAAGTATATATAAGAAATAATATTACAGTAAATAATACAAAAATATGCATTTTTATTTATTTATTTACTTTATTGCATAAATATAATTTTACGTGATGAATAAAAAAAATTAAAAATTAATCAGCAGCACCTCTAAACTGCGGCTGGTGGAGTTCTCCTCCTTCCTGGAGCATCAACGGGACCCAGATTCAGTAAGTCAGCACACGTACCCAGAACCACTGCAGAGACAGCAACAGAAGAGCAGCCTTGACCTGCTTTAGCAGCCGCAGCGCAGCTCCTCTAAAATACAGCTTCAGTACTGAAGAAGACCTACATGTTTTACACACAACAAGCACATTTTCGGCAGAGTCTGAATTTTTATTACTTCATAAACATTATAAAATAATATATTTTACATTTATTTTAAAATATAATATTTATATATAAAAATAAATATACTATTTTGTATCTTTATAATAAATTAATAAAGTATATATAAGAAATAATATTACAGTAAATAATACAAAAATATGCATTTTTATTTATTTATTTACTTTATTGCATAAATATAATTTTACGTGATGAATAAATTTTTTTTAAAATTAATCACTTATTAACAGCTACTATTTTGTATCTTTATAATAAATTAATAAAGTATATATAAGAAATAATATTACAGTAAATAATACAAAAATATGCATTTTTATTTATTTATTTACTATTGCATAAATATAATTTTACGTGATGAATTAAAAAAAAAAAATGAATCAGACTTATTAACAGCTTATGTTGTTTATACAAACTACTTAGAATTTAAATGAAAAGATCAGTTTTAGTAGTATTGCATGATTTTATTTGCATATTCTTGGTGTTGGTGAGAGATGACTGATTTTGCAGTTATCCTTGGATCATCGACCTTGTGTGATGCTTTAGAGAAATGCAAATCTACTGACACCAGCTGCAGGGCAGTTGGCTCTTATTACAGATGGTCACGATGACCCAGGTCACGTCCTGCGTTGTTCCTGATCCACTGATAATGATGGAAATCTACAGAACCTCAAATCTCCGGCAAAATCATTCCGAGTCATTTTCAGCTCAATTTAAACGAAGCGCTAAGCTAAAACAGATCTTGTCTTGTAAACTAGAAGAATCCAGAAGTGTAGCTTCTAAACGTGCTTATTATGATCCAGTAGTCATCCAGAAGTGGGACTCACTCCCTTAAGTGTCTTCCAGTCATCAGACCTATTTAAGCACTGATCTGACTACAGTCAAGAAAATGAAGACAAAACGGCATGTGTAGATTAAATGCGAGACCCGGGAAGACTTCTCGTGACCTACAGGTTACCAAAATGCCTTGCCGTCCGTGTTAAAGCAGACCTGTGTAATCGATCATGTTGGCAGCATCTCTATGAAATGCTTGTTCCTCTGGTCTGGCGTGACAGCGGCTATTAATCTTGCGTTTGTAGCCATACGCAGAACGAGTTGCGTTCTCATTACAGTCACACAAACGTTCAGCTTTGGGGAAGAGGTTCAGAACGTACCTGAAATACCTTCATTTCTCACACAAACAACATTTGGGAATAGCACTGAACTCGTTGAAAACTATAAATTATAGTTAAAAACAAAAGCTTAAGCATTTATTCTTTCGCAAAATATCTTAGTATTTTAGTTCATTTTCTATAGCCAGTAGTAATGTTGCCTTGATCTAATTATACATCTCTTTCTGCAGTACAACAAGCATCTATTTGTGCACATCAGCCAGACGAATCATTCGTACAGAGATGCGCTCCTGGAGACAGTGGACATACGTCAAATCTACGACAAATTTCCTGAGAAGAAGGGTGGGCTGAAGGAGCTGTTTGGAAAAGGACCTCAGCATGCCTTCTTCCTGGTCAAGTTCTGGGTGAGTCTTCAGCGTTTGACAGTTTGAGCAGCTGAGTCGTGGCATAGCTCTTAGCACATTGACCTGTGGTGCTCATGCAGTCATTCTCCAATCACATTTCCTTCTTTTCCTGCACTTTTCCCCAGTTTTTCATAGTTTCTGTAATTTACACAATGGTGTTATTGCAATTTAGTGAGAGATATTGTGAATATATTTATAAGTGATAAGGTTTATAATAATTCGTAATTTATTTGAGCAGTTTTGTACAAATTTTATTTTCACTTTTGGGCTCTTTTAAAAACTTTTCATATTAAAAGACAGCATTTTCAATACAAAAACTTTAAATTATTAATAGAGGTGCCTCTTTGAGCATTTTGGCTTTGGCTTAACAAAAAAATAAATCTAATATAAACTTTAATTTAAACACCATTAATGTTTATGATGGCTTTTATAAGTCTGGGATAAGGGTAATTCATATAATAATTCATAATTAATACACATTTCACTTTTGGCTCTTTTTTGAATGCAAATTTTAAATGTTAATAACATTTTTATAATAAATTTAACATTAAATGATTTCATAGCCAGTATAAGTCTGGGATAAGGGTAATTCATATAATAATTCATAATTAATACACATTTTCACTTTTGGCTCTTTTTTGAATGCAAATTTTAAATGTTAATAACATTTTTATAATAAATTTAACATTAAATGATTTCATAGCCAGTATAAAACAAACGTTTGATAACATTATGTTTTTTGATAAAATGTTTTTTGAAGTATTTTGGGTTTATTTAAAAATATATAATAATGTTAAAATGTCATATTGATAAGATTAACTATTCCTATAATAATATTAACTATTATTATTTTTAAAATATTGTCAAAAATAAAACTTTAAATATTGTTAACTAATAATAATATATAGTTGTTTCATTAAAGGGATAGTTCACCCAAAAATGAAAATGTGATGTTTATCTGCTTACCCCCAGGGCATCCAAGATGTCGGTGACTTTGTTTCTTCAGTAGAACACATGATGATTTTTAACTTTAACCGTTGCAGTCTATCAGTCGTATAATGCATGGCATTTTTTACCTCTAATACACCACTATGTCCAACTGTCTTTGGGCACGCGCACGGCATCCGGTGCGTGAGGTGTGTACACACTCTGGCGTAGTCCAAATGCTACACCAGTATAAAACAAACGTTTGATAACATTATAAATATGAATGTTTTTTGAAGTATTTTGGGTTTATTTCAAAATATATAATAATGTTAAAATGTCATATTGATAAGATTAACTATTCCTATAATAATATTAACTATTATTATTTTTAAAATATTGTCAAAAATAAAACTTTAAATATTGTTAACTAATAATAATATATAGTTGTTTCATTAAAGGGATAGTTCACCCAAAAATGAAAATGTGATGTTTATCTGCTTACCCCCAGGGCATCCAAGATGTCGGTGACTTTGTTTCTTCAGTAGAACACATGATGATTTTTAACTTTAACCGTTGCAGTCTATCAGTCGTATAATGCATGGCATTTTTTACCTCTAATACACCACTATGTCCAGCTGTCTTTGGGCACGCGCACGGCATCCGGTGCGTGAGGTGTGTACACACTCTGGCGTAGTTTACGCAAGCGCCGGAAGTGATCTCTCGCGTGTATACGTCACTCATTCTTTACACAGTCATTGTAGGTACGACGGCTAATCAAAATGGTACTTACTTGCGCTTATCTGGATTGTTCAAACCGACTTAAAACTCAAAGATTACGTTCTCGCGCGCGAACTCATTCGGGAGTGGTGACTTTCCACGTATTCCCAACTTCTGAGCCTGCTCGCCTGAAGTTATGGTCGATTGCTCTTCGGCTGGATATCAGTACACCCATTAACATAAACTACGCCAGAGTGCGTACACACCTCACGCACCGGATGCCTTGCGCGCGCCCAAAGACAGTTGGACATAGTGGTGTATTAGAGGTAAAAAATTATATAAATACTGTTCGGTTTCTTAGGACACCAATGTGTCGTCACGAGCCGCAGGGTTTAATTTGGATTTGTCTGTGCATATTTTTTTTTACGCTCATAGATTTTGTTACCACTGCCATGCATTATACGACTGATAGACTGCAACGGTTAAAGTTAAAAATCATCATATTTGTTCTACTGAAGAAACAAAGTCACCTACATCTTGGATGCCCTGGGGG